CGTATACGATATATTAGTGGGTGAGACGAGGAGAACGCAAACTTCAACATCAGGTATCTTTGAGAGTTCATCAGCCTTCTTGAAAATGCTACATTGACGTCTACAAAAAGTAGATAGCCTTGATCTTTCGTTCTCGATGAATTTGATCTCTCTCTTCTGACGAGGAGCCATTTCTTAAATTTAGAGATATGTTTTTAGTGGTGTTGTGTTGCTCTTCTTGCTACTACTCTACTCCATATTTATAGATGGATTGGGTCAAGGTTAAGTTCACTCTTATCTTTCATATAAATTTTTTTTTATTTCAATTAAATATTTAGAAAGTTTAATTCAAATTTTTTCTAAGACTTATCTTAATATTTTAGAAAGAAATAAAAATATTTTGTATATATAGATTACATCCTTTTTTGGTGGAATCTCGAAATTACATTCTATATGTACAAAATTTAGTCTTTAAATGAAAACTCACGCGCTCAAACATGCGCGTACAAGCCACGACGTATCAAACATTCTTCTCCACGACGTATCATCTGAGTTCGAGTAGCAATTGCCACGGAGGTTCGAGATTTAACATGGTTTCCTCTGGCCCCAGAAGATTAGTCTTTGGGCCTAGAACGCTTTTGGGATCAGTTATGAGTTATTAAAAAAAAAAATCCTCAAAAAAAAAAAATTCTAAATAAAATATGAGAAAAATATTATATTTTCCTATCTAACCCATGTTATAGAACTATTGTATTTTATTATATTTTATTAATAGAGAATCATAAACTCGAATAGAGAAAACAAATTTTATTCATAATTTTGCTTACTACTATTACATTTGGTTTTAAGTTGAGGAGTATTTTGAAAATACAAGAATAGCTCCTAACGATTTTTTAATCAAGGGTATTTTCTATGGCATATTTCAAATTCATTACCTTCATTACTTTATATTTGATTCAAAACAACAACAAAAATATTAAACAACTTAAAGATATTAGAATAGAAACTCTTTAAACTGACAAAGAGGACAAGGAGTCCACAAGAGGTTGTCCATGAAATTGAAGCACTATCAATTAAACTACGATAACCAATCTCAATTTAACGTATAAAATTCAGTTTAAATGAATTTTGAACAAAAACTAAATGTGTCATCTTTTTCTTATTGTTTGGTGTGTTTCTCAGCACTAATTGAAACGTAAAATTTTATTGATATAAATGAAATATTTAAAAAGAATTTGAAGATATGATGTTCATTTTGGCTTAGTCAACAAAAAAACAATGTTTTATAAATTAAGTCAACGAAAAAGTTCATGTTTTGAATGACTACATAGAAAATTTGTAATTTAAATAGTTTAAATTCAAAAGTTCGTGAATTAAATGATATTTTTCTCGTTAAAAATGTCTTTACCCATATATCCTACGGTGATGTGGTCTTAAACAGTGATATATCGTGAAAGTTGAATGTGCTAAAGTTATTAGATTGTGGGCTTGCAACTTAAAACCAATTGACAATGAGTGGAGAGGTCCATATAACTTATATACTAGCCATGATTCTACTCAACTTCCAATGTGGGATATTGTTATCCTTAATACGCCCCCTCAAAATGATGGATCTTCTAGCCATAAATCTCGGTATGTTCGGACATGAATCGGTGGGTCGATTATTGGGCCGGACCGATTGTGGATTGGGTTGAGTATGTGCGGACGGACTCTGATACCATATTAGATTGTGGGCTTCCAACCTAAAACCAATTGGCAATGAGTGGAGAGGTCCATATATCTTATATACTAGTCAGGATCCTACTCAACTTCCAATGTGGGATATTGTTATCCTTAATAAAAGTCAGACTGAGACGTAAGCTTCTTAATTAAGACAATTGCACCATGTAATTAATTAAGCTCACTTATGTGTAATGGGATTTGTACTGTTTTGTGTTTTAGAATACAGTTAAACCTAAATATAGTTGTATTATTATTGAAGATGGTGGTAAGAAAACAATAAGGAAGTAGCGAGAAAGTAATTTTAAAAGCGGATAATACTCTTTCTTCAGTAATGAGTACAAATCAACAGTATCGTATAATTAGTTGTTGTAAATTCACTCCCAACAGTATGAGTACATATGTAATGATGTAAGCAATGTGTAAAGAGCAGATTTCAATCTGTAGAATTTCAAAAGTGTCGTTTTATACCTCAACTTTAATGCGTGTCAATTTCAACCCAAACTAAATATTTTTCAAATAAACTACATGAGCTATCAAATTTATGACAAAATCAACATTACATTAACCAAATTGATAATGATCAACTATGATGAGTGAAATGACATATGTACAATGTTTGCTGAGTCAGAATATGTACAAATTATGTTGAGTTAGATGACACATGTCAAAAATAATTAAGAAAATTTTTTCTTAACTAAGTTTAGAGCAAATATTACCAAATTCTTGAAAATTCTTACGCGAACCAAATAGATAACTAAATCTAAATTTTATACATATAACTAAATCTAAATTTTATACATATATAAATTTTAGAATCACGTTTTTGGTGAGATAATATGGAATCACATTTTTTTTTGGGAAATATGGAATCATGTTTTTTGGCAGGAAATTATGAATCACGTTTTTGGTGGGAAAAATATGGAATCACGTTTTTGGCTGGAAAAATAAAAACACGTTTTTGGCGGGAAAAATATGGTATCACGTTTTTGGCGGAAAATTTTGGGTTGTGAAAGACTGATGGAAGAAATTAAATTAAATTAGGCTTGTGATTAAATAAAATATGTTTAGACATTTGATTTGGTTAAATTTGGTTAATCTATTTAATTTAGGATTGTTCAATTTTTATAGGTTTGGTTATTGATAACCCACTAAACCATTTCAATCCAAATCATTAAAACCCAACTCACTAAACTCATTAACTCATTGAACCCATTAATCCATTAATACCCAAAATTCAATCTCATTAGGTTTATGGATAGGATTGGTTTGGGTCGACCCATTAAATTCAGACCATTTTGACACCCTTACTTAGGCATGACCAAAAGCTAACCTAAACCGTATTTCAAACCATAACCGGACAGTTTATCAATCGTAACCGGATCGTAACCGTATAAAACGGTTAAAAATCGTAACCGTTAACCATACAAGTAATTTATTTACGGCTAAAAAAATATACTAACCGTAACCATTAATTAACCGTAACCGTAATATGCCTTCACCCGGAAGATGGTAAAGTCATCAGGAAGCATGGTATCAGATTGTACGTTTTGGAGGACGCAAAGAAACCCAAGTGGTTTAGGAAAGATGATCTTGCACCTAGTGGTTGCTTTGATGATAGAATGAGAACTTATTTCCAACTAAAAAGTTACACTCTTGATGGTTTATATTTTATTTTGTGATCCAATTAAAAACAGCTTTAGAAGATTCAAACTTCAAGGAATCACTGAGGGAGTTTCGAACAGAGGTATTTATAAGCTCCATGCTTTCCCGGATCACGTTGATAGTCAAGAAACTTTGTATTAGTTTAATAAGAATGATTATTTATGCAATTTCTATATTTTCATTTTTATTTTTATTTTTTGTAAGCTTTGATTCTATCCCGTTTCATCTTCCTCCCTTGCCACTTCCCTCCTGCATTTTATAAATTCAACCGTTCAATAGTAGTAACTCTTTACCTTTCTTGTGGCATTTTACTTAGTTTGTTTTGGGACCTAGAAGTGAATTGCACCAAGATTATATACGCATATACTTTGTTTCAAAGTTTAAGAGATCAACATGACATAAAAGCAGAGCTGGCCATGAGGCCAAGCTTTGGAGGAAACATGAAAAATATTTTTGTTGAAATTGTTTATCAAAAGAGCCAATAAAAGAACCAAAAAATATATGAAGTAAGTAGTTTAAGAAATAAGAAAATTTTGCTGTAGTTTCATATTAACAAATTGACATGTACTATTTTTCTTATTTAAAAGCTTCTTATTTTTAAGTAGTTGGAAAAAGGGTTTTATGCATATAAACCTTCAAAGTCGCTATTTTTAGCAAGTTTACCCTCCAAATCCAGAAAATGCAAACCAATCATACAAAGTCCAATAAATATACAATATAACTCATTTTTGCTACTATCATGGTTGTAAATTTTTTAGAAATAATATATCAAATCGAATCCCTCATAACTAGAAGTTCAGATAAATTTTTAGAATTTTTATAAATAAATGTATGTGACCATAAAATCGTTTAGAAAAATATATTTATCTACTATAAGGGCTGTATTGCGTATTATTCTTGACTTAGTATGATTATTCTGTAATTATTTTGATATGGAAGACAGAGTTCCGTAAATTGACGATTTGAAAGGTTAATTTGCACAAAACCCTTAGAAAAAACAAATAGAGAAGCACTCTCACATACCGGTTATAGTGTTTTATTGATGGGACATTTGCAAAATAAGAATTTTTGAGTACCCACAGCAAAGTCTTTTGGTTTGCTTCTTTGAAAATGAAAAGTTGTTTGTTGCCTCGATTCCACAACTTCGGCATTCACTTGAGAATTCCAAAAGGTCTTACACTTGTTATCAGTCTATTTATGGGTATCATATGGAATTCCCTAAAGGATATGTTAACTTCTCTACGGAATCTGTCCAGGGCTTGATCTGCTTACAAGAATCAGGAACGCCTATAGTTTGGAACCCTAGTACAAGACAGCTATTAACTTTACCCAAACCAAAATTTAGCTGGAATGACGTTAAATTTTTTTTAGGTTACGATCCGGTTCAAGGTAAACACAAAGTAATGTGCATACCTCTTTGTAGAGTTTCTAATAAATGCCGGGTGCTAACTTTGGGATCAGCTCAAGAATCATGGAGAAGTAGAACAATAAAATCTCGACATAAGCATCGTTCAAAAATTCAGTCTTCTGGTCGATGCATCAAGGGGGTTGTATATTATATAGCCCAAATCATTTATACCCGTGTTTGGGTTGTAATGAGCTTTGATGTCAAATCTGAAAAATTCGATATGATACAATTGCCATCGGATATTAATCATGATAAAAGTGTTCTCATAACTTATGAAGGGAGGTTAGCTTGTGCTCGAGTGTGTGCCATGAAGGGTGGTAGAATTAGAGGGGAGCGTTGTACCACATTGTGCATTTTGGAGGATACAAAGAAACACAAGTGGTCGCGTAAAGATGTTTTACCTGTTCATTTTGGAGTACCTCCTGGTTTGACAACTTTTTTAAGATTTGAAGGTTGCACTAATGCTGGTGAGTTTATTTACGAAGTATCCGGGTTTGAAATGGTGAGTTATATTTTATTATATGATCCCGTGAAACGAAGCTGTAGACGATTCGAACTTAAAGGAATCACAGAGGACACATCGATGTATGTGCTCCATGCTTTCCCGAATCACGTTGAGAATCATGTTTTTTTTTGTTCTTCCTTGGATGATCATTTTTGTGCAAGTTCTTTTTCATTTAAAAGTAACTTTTTCAGGCAAACGATTAAGCATTCATACTCTTAGGCGATACCCAACTACACCATCAATTCAAGGTCTAAGTATTTGTAAGGCATGCGAACAGAAATAATATATATATTTGTCAACCCATTATTAAGTACTTTAATTTATATTCTTTAGTTAACAAACCAAATACTGTAAAAAAAAAACCAAGTAAAATTCTTTACTATAGATATAAACGTACCTCACAGCTCTTGAAGCCCCCTAGAATCAATCAATCAAGTTTCTAACACTTACGTTATGGTATGACAACTTGCTTTAGTAAAGTCAAGATAGAGGCAAACTTAAAAAATGAAATAAAGGATAAAAACCTCGTCATGTCACATGCTTCTCCCCCCCACCCAAAACAAGATTTACTGAGGAATAATGTGGTTCAGAAGCAGAATTTATATTTCTCTACATATTATCTTCAAAGGCATAGATCGAGAAACAAGAAACATAATCACTACACATAAAAGCGCTAACCATTCTGAAAACTTGATGAAACTATGGATAAAATGAAACTTTTTCATAAGTCGGTACTAGAGAGCCTAAAAATAGAAATTCAGAATATTATTCTTTTCGTTTCAGTCAGTTGACAATTTTTAATGGAACTAATTAAGCCTAACATTGACACTTACAAGTTACAACACTCTGGTACATGGGTATTTCTACCCTTGAGCATTAATAATGGTGGTCTCTTAACTTAAGATTTTGTTAAGAAAAGCTATTAAATAAGAGTCATTTCTTACCAAAATCTTAGGTTAAGAGTCTAACATTATATATAGAGCCATGGAGAGATGGGTTTGGTTCTTGACTCTGTTTTCTAGAACCTTTTTTTTTGGTTGTAGCCATGGAGAGATTGGGTTTGGTTTTTGACTTTGTTTTCTAGAACCTTTTTTTTTGGTTGTAGCCATGGAGAAATGGGTTTGGTTCTTGACTCTGTTTTTATAGAACATTTTTGTTAGTTGTAGTATCAAATTTTGCTTTGATTACATTGATGAGACAAATTTTGTAATTACAACACGTTAACTCATGTATGTTTGTGAAGAAGAATATAAGTGAATAAGAAAATAAAAGTGAATTACGTTTTAGATTTTAGATATCATAAAATCAATACTAAAATGAAAATATATATATACAGACAAGGTCAAAAGCAACGCAGCCATAACAAATTAAGGCTTTGACTACTAAAGATGGAGAAACAAAAAGAGAAGGAAATAAAAGTCTCCAAATTAACTTCGTCTTTTCCTCAGAGATACTCATAAGGCTGCCTGAAGAATCTATTGCGAGGCTTCGTTGGGTGTCGATGGTTTGGTTATCAAGCAACACCGATAGTTTTTTCATCAAGATGTTCGAAAAAAGGTACCCACGGTCGTGTCTTTTGGTTTGCTACATCGAACAAAACAAGTTGTTCGTTTCCTCGGTTCCGCAACATTATCACTCACTTAGTAAATACCGATAGTTTGTAACCCTAGCACGGGAGAGATCTTAGCTTTACCCAAACCTAGAATGAGCTGGGAGAATCTAACCCTTTATTTAGGATACGATCCCGTTGAAGGTAAACACAAAGTAACGTTAGGATCTGGTCAAGAATCATGGAGAACAGTCAAAACTAAACTTACACATCGTTCTGACGGGTATAGTACTTGTGGGAGATGCATCAAGGGGGTTATATATTATCTAGCCTATGTTTACCATACCAGTGTTTGGGTTATAATGAGCTTTGATGTCAGGTCTGAAACATTTGGTATGATTCATTTACCATCAGATGTTCTTAAGAAT